TGTCTCGGCTGGGTCCAAGTCCACGGGTTTGGGATTTGTGGTTTAGAGGTTCCTCACCCTAAACTCCCACACTTAGCTCATCCTTGGGAGAATTGGGGGACCTAGGAGTAAGGTTATAAGTTACAACCTTACGCCTAAGTTATAAGTACGTTGATTGGGGCGAGAAATTGTTGATAACAACGCGTACTTTACTCTGCTTACTCCCTAAAAAACTGGAGTTGGGGTTGGGACGGAAAGTCATCCTTCAATCTGCTTCGGGGGGGAGGAGTGAAAGACCGGCACGAGCGACTTTTTTCTCAGGGTGCGTGGGTTAGATGGGGTGTTCACTGGTTTGGCTCACTGTTAAAGGCGGATACTCGAGCTACTGTTGAATGAGTCGTTGCATGCTTTGTGGAACCGTGACTAGTCGATGCCAGTCGGTTCTCTTTATGTTTCCTTGCCTAATCACTAGCGTCTTCTCACACAGCGGCACACGCGTACCGTTAAGACATGGGTTGTTATCCGGCAAATATAGACGCTTGACTAGTAACCATTCTTCTTCCTGAGGTTTTTTATGATATGATCCATCCCAAACCTTGTTCCAATTATTAAAGCCCCCCCCCATATTATGCTCGTCTTTCAGTGTTTCATGCGGACCGGCCGCGAAGTAAGAGCAAAATCTGGCTGAGGTCGTGTGTGACAGCCTTCCTACACCCGACAACCCCCAACCCTGAACCCTGAACTTACCCTGCAATTGCGGCTTCGTCCATGCTATGCAGGAGGGAAAACGCTAGATTCGAAAGCCCTTAAACTTGAATGCGCAACTGCAGACTCTGACCTTTTTGGTTTCCAGTCGACCCTGGCTACACCCAGCCTTTAGGTCAATGCGACTTGGAGCTCTCGTGTCGCTTTGGGCCTGATGGAGGCACCTGAGGGGTTCCCTATCAGGCTCCCTAAGGTTGATGATGCAAATCCTGCATTAATGCAGGATTTTATCATCAAGCGTAGGGTGGGGCTTATGGGCCACAGTTTCGGGAAGTCTAACTTGGAGAGTTCCCTGATGCTACGAGCCCAAAATGCCTGGACAAGGCCTGCCAGCAGAGGGAGATGTCCTTTGGCTACATCGAGCGCTCTCCTAAGCCAGTGTCATGACATCCATGTCATCAGTTGGAAGAATGACGCGCAGGAGTTATAGTTGAGGTTCTGCCAAATCCGAGACATTCAGACAGTTCGTTAGCTAGAGAGATGGTGAGGAAAGTCTCCTGGAATTTTTAAAATCTGTCAGGTTTAACCATTGCTCCAGCAAGTTCCGTGGCGTGGATGGTTCCTTTTTCAGCCTCGGCCTCAGATGGACGCTCGGAGCCCCCGTATCAATTCTCACAACTCTTAAGCTTCTGGTTTATAATATTTCACGATACTTGGCCTACCGGCTTTCGTTTATGGTATTTAATGGTACTTGGCCTATTGGCTTTGGTTTATAAAATATGACAATAGCTGGCCTATCGGCTTTGGTTGATCGAATTTGATGATACTCGGCCTATCGACTATGTTGCGGCACTTCCACCATGATTTTCATCATGGTTGTGTCTAGTCTGTGTTTCGTTTGCGTCCTCTAACTCCAAGCTATCATGGCTGCAGGTGCCGTCTTGCTGGTATCTTTCCGTAGTTACGCGACTTCCACGACTTCCTGACGATAGTCGGGGCACGGTCATCATCATACACCACATCGCCACCACTGCCGCCACCATCATCATCATCATCATCATCATCATCGCCCTCATCACCATCGACTCGCTCAGCCATGCAGCACACAAAAGATCTCCATCATCCCCAACACCACCAGCATCACTGCTCGCATCGTCGACATGATCGTCGTAGTAATGGCAGTTCTTCATCAGGGTCGCGGGAGCCTCCTATTGCCATAAGCATCACGCCCGCCTCAACTGTCGCTGTGACCATTGCCAATAGTAATAGTATCGTCATGAAGGCAAGCATGCGCACCGTGCTTCCTCTCAATCTTGAAGAATCTCGTGCCCCTCACACCCGACACTCCAAGCGCTCTCGAAGGCCAAGACTACGGCTCCTTGTCAGATCTGGCCATGCGCCTGCAATGCAACGGCTGGACCTTTGAGGGGGCGAGCCCACGTGTTTGGGGGCTTGGGGGTTTGAAATTTGAATAATTCCTGCTGTATGTCTAGGAATTTATTAAGCTTCTTTTAAACCGTTGCGATGATATCTTGCTGCAATGTTCGGGTTCGCATTGTTTGCGGACGATAAATGCCCAAGTTCTTCCAATACTTCTATTTACTTGTAGGTTGTAATTGCCGGACTTTCGATGTGGGGATTTTGGAAACTACCGCTGAACTTGTACTCGCAGTGTTTTACATCGTTTTATGCAGCGAATGCACAATTTGCTTAGTTTAAGTTCCACTTGGACGTGCTCTAAGCCCTAGACCCAAAGCCTAACTGAACTCATTTCCAAACAGACACCCTGCTGGAAGCTGCCTTCAGACTCTTGCGATACGGCTCGTTCAACAAAAACCCAAAGCCTCCGCCTTCAGCGGTGCGGGAGGAAAATAGTCTAAATCCTTAATCCTATGCCCCAAGCCCCCCAAAAGGCCCTGAACACCTTTCGGGTCTAGGGCTTAGGGTTTAGGGCTTAGGGCTTAGGGTTTAGGCATAGACTCCCTTAGCCCCGATGTTCCAGGACAAACTACTCGAAACCGCTCAGCGAGGTCCTCCAGGAGTGCCACGCAAGGGTGTTGTTTCAGGGTTCAGGGAACTACCAGGCGTCCTTGCAAGCAAGCCTGCATCAAAAGGGTTGATCCCTAGTTAGGAGTTTCCGGAAATTAGGGGTACCTCATTCTGGGGTCCTTATAATGAGGATCCTACTCTTTAGGGTGCTATATTAGGGTCGAGACTTTTGATCTTTTGGGGTTTGGGGTGCGAGGGAAGCGCCTGCTGCAAAAGGGTGCGAGGGCCGAGGGCTCTTACAGCTTCTTGGGCTGTGCCAAGAACAGGGCTTCCCTTTCTTTATATTCTGATGGCAGACCCCAGACTTTCAAAACACACTCCAATATGTGAGCCACATTACAGGAATCCTAACAGGAAGGCACTCGGATTGCAATGGCTGGGAAAATCCCAAAACTCTGCCGGGCGCCGGCCCCAGCAAAGTCGGAAACTCTGCCAAACCCTGAAGCCGAAACCCCAGAATGTGGCACATGATTTCAAGGCTAAGTTGATGGCTGGTGACCATCAGACTTCGTTTCGCGGAGCCGCACATTATTATCATCACCTGCGGCTTTTGCCTGGCAAGTGCCCAGCAGGTCAAACTCAAAGCATCACCCACGGATATTCCTTGCCATACCCGTGCCTGCAAACACCGGCATGCCCGACACACCCATGCACCGTTCAATGTTGGCAGGAACAGGCAAAAAGAAACAGAGCATTGATCATCATCAGTAGTGCAGTGCTGGCCATTGTGGTTCTTAAGTGTCCTCTGCCTAACGTGCACACCCGTTCCGCCAGAACCTCTGAACGTGACGGAGCACGCGCCAGGAGTTTGCAGACTTCGCTTCGCGAGGCCCCTCGGCGTTCGAGTTGTTCAGCCGTTGCGACGAGCAGTGTGAAGCTTCCTCAGGCTAGCCGCCCTGGCTCCACGGCCATGTTTATAGCTTCAGATTCTGGGTTCGGCGTGGTACAGGAATCGAGTAAATAGAGTACAGCTCAAGATTTCTTGTCTTCTGCATTTAAGTGTGCCCATAGGCCTGTGTGAGACTTAGTTGGTATTGGTGTTGACATCAACTGCACGTTTGCCCGGGATTATTGGCAGATACTATGTGCGAATGAATTGGCGCTTCGGTGCAGACCGGGGGCCACCATTCCGCACAAAACCTTAACCCCCGCACCCTCTACCCCCATAAACCTTTCAACTCTAATCACATTAATTATGTAGTTTGCACCAAGCTGACTCATGACCACATGCCTCCTGGATTGTCCGAGTGTGAGAGCCGAAACGCAGAGCGCTTGCGCAACAGCGAGGTGGGCATCGAGGGCGGGGTGCGAGGCAACTGCAACAACAGGGTCTAGAGCTCAGCTGCTTTGGGTGCGAAATCAGGATTGGAAGTGCAGGGTTCAGGGTTTAGAGAAAACAGGCCTTGATGTCAGGGCTCGAGGTTCAAGAGGGAGTTACAAAGTTTCGAAGTCAGGGCTGCGCGGTCACAATTCTGGGTTCGGGGTTGTTTTGCGGGGACTGGCCATTCCGCGAGGGCTTTTGGGGTTGGGGTTAAGAGCACCATAGAAACTTTAAAGTCTTGGGTGTTCGGACGCCCCTTGGCGATGCCGATACACGTACACCGAAGCCGCAATCACAAACCGGCTGGAACCTGCTACAGAGGTCTCTACACAAGCTTTAAACCTGCGACAATACATGTGCGACCGCGGAGGAAGGTGGGTTAATGAAGTTTTTAGTAGGTATAGGACACTAGAATAGAGTATAAAGGTATAGTACCCTGGCAGCTGCAGTCCTGAGAACCATGCCTTGTCATCCCGAAGATGGACTACATGATCTCCTTAAGGCTATAGCCAAACATGCAAGTCACAGTGAGTTGCCGAGTGAGAGGCTCGATGGTGGAGTATAGGAATTTGTAGAACAGTCCTCAGGTGATTTGCCCCTGAAGTTCCTACCCGAGCCTCTATTCATTCTGCACAACCTGAGCAGCGATAAGGCCTGCACTCGCTCGTGGACCCGACTTTGTCAGGGAAGGCTACAGGACCAACTATCCTCCCCACGTATTTATCATACTCCTTTACAATCTGTTCAGCAGCCCATGAAGCCCTAAGACCTCGTCGTAGACCCCAAACCCTGAAGTTGCAAATCGTACACTACGCCGGTGAGAGAGCCACAAAAAGCCGAGCCCTAAACCCTTGTTTCAGTATGGTCCCGCGCGAAACACTAAAACCCGAAGCTCCTAAACACTAAAAGAGTCGAAGCCCTTGTTCCACTGTGGTGTCCTCTGGCTATGGCCGCTTTGAGCCCATACGCGCTGCAGCGGCCACTCGAAGCTTGGCTTTGACTTCGGGCTACGAAACCGGGGTTTAGGGTTTGTGAATTTATTGTTCGGAGGTTGGGTAGCGGTTCAGGTCTAGGGCGAGTTGAAGACGGTTCAGGGTACAGGCTTCTCTCATTAAAGCTGTGGGGTTGCCGGTTTAGCGCCAGTATGTGTTCAGCTCCCAACGTAGTGGAAAGCAAGTCAGTCGTCAACCCGAAACCAGTAGCTGCAACATCCTACACCCTAAGCCTGTAGCCTATATATAGCACACAAGGAGGTGCTGCCTTTCTCACCGTCGACCCCGTGTCGCTGCGTGCGCCCTCATGGGGGCCGTCGCCGGTGGAGGTTCCAGTTTAAGTCGGAGCAGGCCATGGGAAGGTTCAGGGTTTATGGGTTTTGAGGGCTTTAGTGTTCAGGTTTCGGCGGGGGGCGGGTTCGGGCTTGAGGAGTTGATGTGCAGGGTTCAAATCAGGATTTAAGGTCGAAGGCTTCACAGGTGGCAAAGATGAATGGTGAAAGATGTTGGGCATGCCTGTAGCCGAGTTGCTTCATGGAGCTCTCATGTCAGCATTGCTGGAAGGGTTGTACGTGTTGTCTTGTGTTGTTATTCACGTTTGCAGCCGGGTCCCGTCCTCAATGGGGCAGAGTTTACGTAAATTCGGGCTCAGGTTCGCGGCGCGATGACTACTACGTATTGTTCACTCTGCTGCAGGGTTTCGACCGGATTAGCTGTTCTCTGCAGCAAGAGCGTTCCACCGCATTTCATCCGCAACCTGTTCAGACAATCATCTGCCATGCGGGAGCCAGAACTCACATGACTCACATGCCAAAATACTGCTGGACTGTCAGGTTCTTGCAGCTGCAGCTTTATGGAGCGTGCGACGGTGTAGGCAAACACGTGCGAGGGTTTTGAAAGTAAAGGGCTTAGCGATTCCGCAGGGCGCCATGTTGTGTCTGGGTTCTCTTGGTGCATGAAGGTGCTTGAAGTGACAACTTCCGCATCTCCGATAGACTGCGTTATGCTTAATTTGGGGAGCTTGCCTGCCAGTATGGTGGGTTATGGTCATGTTTTATGCAGTCGCGCTGGTAGGGGTGGAGTGTTCTTGAATAGTGGTTTTTAGTAAAGGGTATGGTCGCTGACTTTTGCTGAACAGCATTTCTTTGGGCTTGTTTTTGAATGCCGTGCCCTCCCTCAAGTTGCATACACCACTGTCGGAACACAATCCTGGACGAACCATATGATGAGGTCTTTTTGTCGTTATGTTTTGTGTTTGGCTGTGCAGAGTTTGGAAATTTGCTTGCCAGCTGGGCAAGCTTCTGCCGCCCACGATTTTGTGCATGAGCCGACCGTGCCGGCTCTGAAGCGAGCCCTGCATCGTAGACTACGATTGGCCGAAGATCACGTCGCCATGCCGCAGACTCCTATGAGGAATGTGTGGCTGATGGCAATGATGTGGGGTCTCGCTAAAGGCCAGCGTGAATATCTGTTGATGTGGTAAGGCATTCGTGTTTTTCCCACATGCAAGTGAATTTGATTCAGCTTGCATGCCTTGCAGGTGCCTCCGTCAAGTTGTGCCCGTACATCTGTCAATGTCGAGATGGCAGTGATCGCGCATTCTTGTATCAAACATGTGTAGAAAGTTCGGAGGGCTGCCATTATCAGCCGGGTTGCGAGTGCCTTCTGCCTGATCAAACTAAACAAAAGATGATGGACTTTGAGCAGTGCATGGCTTACGACTGCTTGCATGGCAAGCAGTATTATCCCGGATGGACGGTTCATGATTTCCAGAACAACACTTGCGACGAACAATGTCCTGCAGCAAAGAAGTCCGTCAGCTACTACTGCGGGTCTGAAGATTTGCTGACTTCCAAGCGGCCCAAGTTTCAGGCGTACGGTGGTATCGAGGCTCTGCGTGGATCCGCAGGAGTCACCAGCCGTGAGATCACCTGGCAACAGGGCCCACGGCAACGATTGAAGCTGCAATATGCAGTTGTGTTGGCCGAGGAGCAGCAAGTCGTCAACATGGACGAGTTGGAGGAGATTTGGCACATCAACTGTGCGACCAAGGGTACGGAGCAGATGGAGCTGGAGCTGGTCTCCTCGCATGCAGCCATAGTCCTTCATGATCGCTTCCTGTCCTGGCTGCGCAGCTACCAGAGCCTGGTCGTAGCAGGTGGTCGTGCATGGGGCTGCAAGAACAGTGAGGAGGCGAATGGTCACTGCAGTACTTAGAGCCTTAGAGCAGTTGCAGTGTTGCAGTGTTGCAGTGGTGTTCGCCCGTATGAAATGACCTGCCTGTGCTCTGCGAGGCCCCGCAGAGCATCCTTAAGCGCGTGGTGGGGGTGCACGCTCCCGAGACTGGGAAGTGGCCTAGCTTTGATCAGGGTCAGGATGTTGCGCCTAGCACGAAGCAACTCTGTGTGCGGCTCTCGTGCTGTGCATAGCTAAAGTTTCACAATCCGGTTGTAGCAAAGGAGTGTGATGTTGGACGTGGTGCAGATCGACTATGCCCAGGTGTTTCGGCATGCCAACATTTCCTTTCATGCACACACCCCTGGCGGTCGGCGCGTCCTTCATGAGCAGCACGTCCGGAAAGATGGAGCTGGGCTGCAAGAGCCGCAAGACGGGTGCCAGTGCCCAAAGGACGAGTTTGATACCGTGTCATCCGTTGACTGTGCCCTGCAGTGCTCCTGCAAGTACGATGCGACCCTGTCGGGTGGTTGTACTGAAGATCCCCATGCAGAGACCATCTTGTACTACTGCAAGCAGATGCTGGCGCCCCAGATCCGAAACCAGCTGGAGAGTCTCACCAGCATTTGGAGGGTCAAGCGAAGGCCGAAAAGGCTCCGGAAGCTAATATGCAGAAATTGCAGGAAAATAAAGCAAATGGCAGGACATTCAATTGTTACAGCGGCGGTGAATGCTATTGTGGCTGGCGACGTCTACACGCCAACATCACAGCTGAACCTGTTCCTTTACTTGATTTAGTGTTGCGCAAGTTAGAGCTGCTCTCCTGCCGCGGCAACTTCTCGATGGCACCCAGGTTGTTGGAGGCTTCTGGAGTTCCATCGGGAATTTCTTCCGAAATGCTTGGCACGAGGTCCAGCATATTGCCAGAGATGTAGAGCATATGGTGGAGAAAGCGGCAGCGGTTGTGAATTTTTGCTGGAGATAAGCATGATGGCACATCGACAGTGTGCTGAGTGGCAGTTACACCATTGAGCTTTGCCGGCTGAAGCTGAGGAAAGGCCTCGCTACAGGTTCCCTTTCTGGGGACGCCACGGAGAGCATTGCCGGCATTGCTTGGAATTACGACTCGTCAAGCGGAGGTCTTCAGTTGAAACCGCTAGGCTTTCAAAGGGAACTTAGGCCGCAACAGGGTATCCACAAGCAAGGCTGCAACAGTTTAAATCCATGGATATCCCACAGATTAAGTGATTAGGGCTCCGAACCGTCCTAACGCAAAGAGAAGGAGAGGTGTCCCCAGAGGTGCCTCAGAAGCGGACCTGGACCTGGGAAATGGCTTCACTTGCCACAGCTGTTTCTTCGACCTCGGCGCCTCCGATGTTTTCTGCGGTTTTAGGGTGTCGGGTTTCAGGTTATTGGTGGTTTCACTGATGTGACTCCGAAAGCCACAGCCCACAGCCCTTGCCACAAGTAGAGAGCCTGGCGTTCTTGGAGAAGCTTGCCAATTCTCTCTCTGCCAAGAGTCCCTTGTACGTTGCATTGGTTGGATGACACCCCTCGAAGCTAATGAGGTGCCAACGTGCATGTGGAGCTGAACATTCAAGACTACAAGGTGGAGCATCTGGTAATGTATCTGGAAGGCGATTTGGCCTGCATTGGCATGTATGCAGCTGTTAGCTTGGAGCGAGGGACAGTTGACTTGAGCTCTTGCGGGGTGCAGGGGATGCAAAGATGCAGTACGATGTCAGCCTCCAGCCGCAAGAGTTTCACGCCAGTCTCTTGCCCTTCCTCAAACATACTTTCCTTTGACTAGACGCTGTCGCTCTTGAATGACTTCTACCCACAGTCATTCATTGGCTTCGCATGCCTGGCCAGATAAGGCAACGATACGGTCATCTCTACACTAAAGTTGGATGAGGTTCGGTCATGCATGAGCAAGTACTCCGCGTGCAGTAGTTGCATTAGTTGCCAGAGAGGTGAGTCTATAGGAGATGTCAGCCAAATGGCCAGGTGCATTTCAGCATTGCAGGCATTCCTTTCGTCATAGACACGACCGTGCCCATCAGCTTGGGGTACGATGCAGTTCTGGAGATCGGGCAGGATGCCCCCGTCCGCGCGATGGCAGGTGTCGATGGCTCGTGGAAAGGTGGTGTGGCATACAGCAGCAAGGACGGCATCTTGCACCATATCGACGAGAGGAAGTTCGAGCCGTCCGGAAAGTTGTCAGCCTCGGCCACTGCCGGCTTTCAAGTCCACCTCTTCCCACAGGTGGTCTTTCAATGCGACCACCTGGGTGGACCAACTTTGGGCCTCAAGCCTTCCGTGGACGTGGTGGTGGGCGCAGCCGTTGGCTCTGAGACTTGCCCTACCGACAGGGCTCTCGGGGCCGGCCTCTTCGCGCAGATCCACTTCGGACTTCAGGTCGCGTTGGGGGCGAAGATCGATATCGAGTTGGCAGGAGTTCCTGTTTGGAAGCGATCCTGGCCGGCCTTGCTATCCCACACCTTCAAATGGCCATTGCTCTCTTCCTGCGTGTCATCTGACGGACAAGGTGGCTTTGTTGCCACGCCCAGCTTGCTTTCGGCAGGGGCGCAGCCTTTGGCCACTGGCGTAGCTTTCACTGGCACCTTGATGCCGGACGCTTCCAGGGGTATATGCGCCAGTTACCCCACCGTCCCCTTGACCGTGCAGTTGACTTCGGAGCAAGACGCGCATCTACTTTCGAAGCAGCCCGCACAAGCTCGGGGTCTACAGGGCTTGCAGGCTGTGCCCCCGCAAGACATTGTGTTCACCACAGCCCAGGACGGAAAGTGGAAGTTTCCTTTGCCCAGCAGCACGAATCAGAACGACGTGAACTACAATGCCTTCGGGAGCTTGCAATTGGACTACCAGTGGTCGGGGGATCAACTTGGGAGTGTTGTCGACCGGGCCTCCTGCCAAGCAGGATCCACGGAGGAAGCCTGTTATACTTTCGTGTACGACAGCTCACCAGACCTGCCGGACGTGGGTCTGCCAGATTTCATTTGGCCGGCAAACCTGGCCCCGGACATGTCTGAGATAACTCTGCAGAAGCCTGATGAAGGTTTGTCCTGCTACCAATTTCCGTTGTCCTTGAAGAGGACCTACGGCCAAACTCGCTTCTCGTCACACGCTGACGGCGAGGCAGTCTACGTTTAAGTTTAGAAACAACTGTAGATGGCGGCTGACGGTCGGTTGGCCGAGATTTTTGACATCGATTCAATCCCTGGCGACTGACGAGCTCTAATGTGGCTCCTCATTCGAGCTAGACCTTCATTCCTGTCACCTTGCTTGAGCTTGTCAGAGGCCTTTCCTGCTCCGACGCAGCCATGTTGAGCATACGCCAAGACCTATGAAGACTCGAGTCCTGCAGAGCGTCTTTCCCGGGCACCCAGCCGAATGCGTGTTTGCACAGGCACTTTAAACGCTTCTACCAACTGCAAGGATTGAGGAAGTCAGGTGGTAAGCCCAAACAGCCCCGAAGCGGAGACCCACGGACCCCTGGCGAAGGCGCGCGGCACAGACTACCACGCGGGTGGCCAATGCCGCCAAAGATGTGCAGGTCGCCGAGGACCTCCGTAATCTAGGGAGGGAGGGACGGATGGACGGGGGAGGGAGGGAGATGGAGAGCGAGCTTGATGCATGCAAGAATATATGTGTAAGGCCTCGAACATGACAAAGCCACCGGAAACGTGTCAAGCTAGGAGGAGTCCCCGACTTGCGTGCCAGAGGCCCTTGCACACAAGAGTTTTATGTTCTCTGGCGCTGCCGGCTTACGTTTCGAAGGAGCTGCTGGTCGCCTGTCGAGATGGCGTCTTGGATCCTCTTGGGCCGATGAGGATTTAGACTGTAGGGTTCAGGGTGTATCTTGGGCTGGCCTAGGTCCTAGGGTCTGGCCCAGTGTTGCAGTCTTTCCACTCATACTCCCTTATGCTGTGTGTGTACATACATGTCGATTGAGTCGGACTTCGATGGCTTGTGTGGTTTTCGACATGATGACCACGGCCGGGAGGCCTTCATGGATCATGGTGGTGATCTGCTCAATAGTAAATAGTACTTGAGAACTGTACCCGCAAACTGCGGATGTGTTATGCGGCCTTGGCGTTTCAGTTCTTGGTGCATCGACCCCAGCTAGATGAGGGCATGGCAAACGTCATTTCGGAGACTCACAAACGTGCCGTTGAAGTCATAGGCATGCGCCATTGCCTTCTAGGTGTCCTAGTATTGCCTTCAGCTTGGGGTTTCATTAAAGCTGTTGGTGCTGAAGCCGTGGATAGGGTTTCACATAGGGTTTAAGCGTAGGCAGTGCGGGTTTATGGCTGTTGACTGGGGCGGGGGGGCCATTGTGCTAGGAAGTTAGGCCAAACCGGCCCGAAACTAGGCCCTTAGCCGCATTCTTTGCTGTCTGGTATTGGAGCTAGAGTTTCGATTCGTTGGGTCTTAGGGTTTTAGGTCTCAGGATTTTAGGTTTTAGGTACACAATTTTGGGATATTGGGTGGGAGGCATGATGTTTCCGGTTTAGGCATGAGGGCTGTTGGCTTTGGACGAGGTGGAATCGAAGCAGTTCGGTTTTGGGCAGAATTGATCCGTCAAACCGGCTTCGAAATGCGTAAATTGAGAACAAGGGTCAAAGCAGTATCTCCATACGCCGTGCATCAGCTATAGCTAGGTAAACAGAGCAGAGGAGAGCACATAGCAGAGCCGTGAGACGACGATTTCAAAGAGCAAAGCCACCCAAACACAGATACAGGAGTGATACAGGAGCGGGAGTCGTTCATGCAAGTCGTGAACCTCTTAGCTTTACACCAGTGCCCAAGGCAAGTCCAACACGGCTTTGCAACTCCTCCGCGAGAAACCCGACCGCGTCCGGGAGGCCGACAGTTTTTAGGGTAGTAGTGATCGTGATCGAGCTAATTAGTCATATCCGCAGTGGCAAAGGAGCTCTCATCATTGTTGCGGCTAATACTAATGACGACAACGATAATACTGTAATGAAGACAGTGGCGGCGATAACGGCAAAGACAACGACGACCACTGCTTACTACGATGACGATGACGACAACAACGACCTCCTACTACGACCACTACTACTGCTACTACTACTACTACTACTACTACTTCTACTACTACTTCTACTACTACGACTACTACTACTACTACTACTACTACTACTACCACTACTACTACTGCTACTACTACTACTCCTACTCCTACTCCTACTCCTACTGCTACTGCAACTGCTACTGCTACTGCTACTGCTGCTGCTACTGCTACTGCTCTACTACTACTACTACTACTACTACTACTACTACTACTACTACTACTACTACTACTACTACTACTACTACTACTACTACTACTGCTCCTGCTTCTGCTTTTGCTCTTACTTCTACTTCTACTGTTGCTCTTACTGCTACTTCTACTAACAAGTCTACTTCTACTTCTTAGTCTGCTACCGCTACTACTCCGGGTGCAGCTGGCTGCTACTGCTGGCTCCTGCCGCTGGCTGATGCTACTGCTGCTGCTGCTGCTGCTGCTGCTGCTGCCACTACCATTACGCTACAGCCGCAACGATCGACGACGACGTCGACTTTGGACGAAAAATCTTGCACCCACCAGAAAGTACCTACATGTGCCCTGAAACATTTGGAGGCACTGCTACGCCCAGCCGCTCAAAGGCAACTGACACCCTTGCAGTGGGCCTGCAGCCGGAACTTGCATCTGGGCTTGTATTGTAGGTTTTGGGCTCGTTGTAAATTATACGGGTTCAGGGTTATAAGGTTTAAGGGACCCTCATCATTTAAGGATGAGGGTCAGTCTAATGCTGAGGGTTCAGGCTTTCTGCTCTGACTTTCTCTTGATCGTCTTTTCTGATTTTGGAGCTTTGGTTCAGAGGCTGTCATCTGCTGGCTGAGTGCTGGGAGTTCAGCAGCTCAAGTCTGCTGATCAGAAATTCCTGGCTCGACAAGTCTGACTGTTTTTTGGAGCCTGTTTGGCCAGGGCCACGGTCGTCGTAGGCCCACGCGCAGATGCGCTTCAACGCCCCAGCAGCCGAACCATGCAAGTGAGAGGATCAATTTGCATGCGAACTGTGCGGTCCACCTTGCGAAATATAATGAACTCTTGCGATGCATCAGGGCCCCACGGGTTACCACAAGTTTTGGTTGAGCAAGCCAACCCATCGCTCAACAAAAGCCATGGCCAGGACCCAGCGAAAAGCCGCTCCGATAGCGCACAGAAGCCGAATCTAACACTGCAGGCTGAAGTCTGTAGTAGAAAACGGGTTAGCTATGAAACGTGCTGTGTGCCCCAAATTAGAGTAGAAGCATCTGTGATGGCAGCGGTGGTCACATCGTCGTTGTCGCAACAGAAGCTTGGCCAGTTTTTTTGTTCCTGGCTGGTTGCGGTGGTGGAAGTAACCACAGCGGCAGAAGCAAAAAGAGTGAATCCTGGTAAGCAGGTATGAGGTGGTGGAGCACTTGACGCAGCACTTTGTGGGAGATGTTCGCCCTTCCATCGACTACTGCCTCTTCAATGTCAGTCGTCGCGGCTACACCAGCACCTTTGGCATAAACGGGCAGCCGTTGTTGTCTTTATATGTTGTTGTGTTAACCCTGAAATTAAACCTCGCTGGGGCTGGAAGATGGGAATAGCGGCTAGTAGCACCAGGCATTTGGTTTGTCGGAGTTGCATCGCTTCAGCTTTGCCCCGTCCATAGCTAGGAGCTAGAGCATTGCATCGTCTCATGTCTTCCAAGGCATCGCCGAGCTGAGCCGTAACCCCTGGACCATCCCCTGCATAATTGTAGTGGAGATACTGCGGACTATGTGGAGCTTTGCCTGCTAGGGCGAGTGTGAGCGTCGAAACATGTCGAAACCCTAAACGTCTTCAAGGTATCGCCGAGCTGCTGATCCAGCGCTTCCCTGCTGAGGCCGAATCCTCGGCCCGGCGCGATGTGGCCCCTAGGTGGCACATGGTGTAGGCAATCTGCTATAGGGTTAGTGCCCCGAAGCCTTAAGAACAAAAGCCCACACCCTGAACCATAGAGAAGTATAGAGATCAAAGATTGAACCCTAAGCTTGAACCTCTAATCCAAAATCACGACGACGTTTCCAAGTTTCGCAGAGCTTGACACCCAAGGCCTCATAACACTGGGACCCAGAAGTCCGAACCCAGGTTCAGGGTTCTCCATTATGACCTTAGTAATAGCAGAACATCCACCAAAACCCTCTTTTGACTAGTCCTGGTTATTAGACTGAAGCCTGAGATTATGACTGCTGAGTCCTTGGAGCTTATGGCGACCCCAGGCCCGAGACTTCGAAACACTAGAATTCAAGGGGGCAAAGGAGGGACCCTTAATGGGGACCCCTAGCCTATAATTTAATGGGCTATATAATGGGTATATAATAGCTACATTGAGGGTGTATACCCGGGGGTCCTCATTAAGGGTCCCTCCTTTTGCCCTTGGAAGAATCCTAAAGCTTGACCTTTGGACTATGTGGAGCCTTGCCTGCCGCGTGCGAGTGTGAGCGTCGAGACCTTGATCTCAGACTTTCCTAGTGTGATCGAAACGCTGAGCCCCGAACTTTGCCCCCTAGACACGTTTGTGCAACCCCACTGCGATCGAGCGCCGTAAGTGCAAGTGTTTCAACTCGAAGCTGAGGTCGAAGCCGCCAGGTCTGGGCAGGTGCAATGCTGGCTTTTCTTGGAACAACTAACAGCAGCAATGCGACAACAAGAGGAACTGGTGGCAGCAGTAGTAGCAGTAGCAGTCGCAGTCGCAGCAGCAGCGGTCATTGTTGTGCAGGTAGTGGTTGTGGTGTCGGTTGTCGGGCTCAGCGGAAAAAGAGTCAGTTGGAAGCTTCGGGGTTTCAGTACCCGTCTTTTGGCTCGGTCCGCTGCCAACCCTAACCTCCGAGAACTCCAACCCAGACCCCAATCCCCGAACGCCATTCCCCAACCCCTGTGAATGCAGAAGTTGCAGGCGCTTCAATTGCCATCCCCAGCCCGGCTAGTGGTCACGGTTTATACGGAACCCTAAACCCTAAACACCTGGCGTTCGCTGTCCGATGCTTCAAGAAAATGTGCCTTTGCCTCGACTGCTGCTGCAGTTGGGTTTGAAATAGCAGTCCAGTTAGAAAGGATGTCACGGGGGTGCGAATACCGCACCTGATGAACCTGGCCTGGATTGCCCGAGAGTGAGTGCAGAAACACCTGGCTTTCGCGAGGCCGGGATTGTTCGGCTCCTTTCCGAGCGCTTTCCCAGCGCCGTCAGGGCCGTGGCTTCGGAGGCGCTGTGCGAGGCGCCCATTTTTGAGAAGAAGCAGCTGTTCGAAGCCTAAGATGTGGCCCTCATGACTCACCTAAGATGGGGCCCCGGATGACTCGAAGAAGGTTGTTTGCAACATTCTAGTGTAACTTGGGGTTTTGATCATTAGAGGAGTTTTGGGGCATTCTGTAGAGTACATGTCTAGAAATCATGAGGCGGTGCTTTCACTAACTATCCAGACGCCTACGTTAGTAGAATGAGGCAGGCTGGATGCAAGAAGGGTTTGGGGTCTCAGGGTGTAGGCGTCGATGTTTCTTGTGGACGCTGGAGGCTGCTTTTGAGTGGCTGGCTCTGAACTGCCTCACGAGACGTTGATAGCCGACGGCCAAGCCTTCCGAATCCTTTGGAGTCAGCCGTCGTCTTTGGTTTGAAAAATCCAAGCCCTCCAATTTTTCCTAAATCAGGAAGCACCAGCGCATCCTGTGCTGCACAGGCTTGTGGAGCTGCTTCGGCACAGATTGCCAATCAGCTGCTCAGAGACTTCCCGGAGGACGGTCGAAGTGCCACAGTTTGAGACTAAATCAAAAAACCCCGCGTTCGGGACACTTTCTTTTTGGAACACAGGACATGCCAAGCTTTGCAAATGGCTCTGAAGCCTGCCTCTGTCAAGTGCAGTGGCAGCAGTACTGCAGCAGTGAACCGCCACCACCACCCCGCCACTACCACCTGGCACCCCAATGGCGAGAAGTGGAAACTGGCAAAGAAATCACAGGCATTTCGTATTACTAACGATGCGAGGCAAGAAACTTCTCAACCCTACGCATTACACCCCTAATTTAAGCCCTGAACCCGAGACGTAATGGCAAAACCCCCAAGCCCACATCTTTTCAACGGAATCTAAACCCCCAAACCCTTTCAAGGTGTACATGCCGTATTTCCATCGGCATTTTGCTGGCTGAGAACCTTGAAACCGAGTTTGAACTGCTTGATCAATCCAGCTGGGGTGCTTTGACTTGAACGACTCGAGTCTCGGTAGCTCCCTTCCTGCAACTCTGAAAGTCCTTCTGAAAAGCAGCTGGACGACACAGATCCTCTGCAATGTGCTGAGGGACAGTTCACTGTTCTATTCCAGCATTCGCCCTGCTTCGTGTACTCAGCCATGCAGGAGGCCAAAAACCCTAAGCCCTATGCTAGGCGGAAAAAGGTGCTCAACAAAAACCCTAAAAGAGGAAGCCCGGACTTCGATGCAGCCAAATGCAGCGGGCCAGACCCCTTTGCTGCGAGCGTGTCAGACGGGCTTCTAGGCAGCAGCCTGGAACTCTTTCGGAAGGTTTTGAGGTCTTTAGCTTTGTTCCAGCATGCTTTCAAACTCTGTTTTGAAAAGTAGCAGACCCCAATATTCACCTAAACCCTACACCTGATACTCTCAAATCTACACCTGATACCCTAGAAACAGGAGCAGTATTCTAACACTACCAACCATAGAAGCCTCGTAGTAGAGTAGGGAGCCTTTAACCTTTTTTGGGTAGTCTAGTCCCTAGATAATTCCTCTATAACCAAAAAGGCTAGCCTTTAGTTCCCCATGATACCCGACAATTAGGGAAGTTACGGTGCCCTCCCCCGAGCTCCCGAGGCTTGGTGGGGGTGGTAAGGCGCCTCTTGGAGCAGTTGCTCGGAAGTTTTGGGTGAAAAGAGGCTTTAGAACTTTAGGGCTTAGTTTCGGGTTGGTTTTAGTAGAACTATAGGGTTTTGGGGTTATTCTAGTAGGGCGTGGGGTTTCAGTAGGGCTTTAGGGTTTAGTTTGGGTTATCTTCGTAGGGTTTCCGTAGAGCTTTAGGGTCTAGTCTGAAGTTTAGAGTTGTTTTAGGGTTTCAGGGCAATGCCACTGCTCAAAAACGGGTGAATTTAGGGTTTGGGATTCAGGGCTTACTCCATTGCAGTCCGTGTTCAGAAAAGATCAACAATGATCAGCCGAGGGCGTGGGGTTGTCTGCATCGCCCAGAGGCAAGCAAAACAGGGTTTTTTGAAGACTGAAGGCTTTGCGAGGGTATCTACTAACAGGGCTTCATTGTTATACTTTTATGCGTTTTGCAGGGTCTTATATAGTCCTTATAATCGTATACCATATAATCTATGACCCCACACGCCCTTCCGACAACAAGGTGCCTTTAAACCTTGATACTAGTGATGGCGCTGATTAGGGCCTCGTCTTGCAGGGTGTTTATGGGGCTTCATATGGCTTAGAAAGGGGGTCTCGGGGCGGATTATGTTACACGGAAAGTATTGAAGAACGAGAAGGGGATATCTGTCATTCCTGTGTATTCAGACCTCTTTCCAGGAGATGGGAGGCGAAGGCCTTGGGACACTTTCGGGATGAGTGCCAAAGCATGGGTTCTTGTTGAGAAATTCAATTGAAGTCTTACCATGATGGGGATTTATTTTGGATAATATGGCTTCTTTATCATGCTAACTTACGTGATATCCCTTAACCAAGAACCCAGGTTGGCTCGTTGGGTTGGAGGGCATGTGGTTGAAAGGTCCAGGCATCTCCCAACACGGCCCCGTTACTTCGATGTTCGTGAAACAGAGCCTCTAGCCAGGTTCCCCGAGGCCAAGGGAGCGCTGGAGGTGAAAGACTCAGCTGGCATGACCCCTTTGGCCTGGGCCTGCGAGAACGGTCACGATGCCATCGTGGAGCTGGTGTTGCGAAGGTTCCCGAATCTGGCGGAAGTGGCCCCGATGGAGGAGCTGGAGGAGCTCGAGCAGAGCCCGGAGATGATGCAGCCGAAGAATCGCGAGAACATGGCAAAGAGCGGCTATCGCCTCGTGGGGAGCCACAGTGCTGTGAAGCAGTGCCGCTGGACTCGGAATGCCATCCTAGGCCAAGGTCAGTGTTACAAGCACACTTTCTATGGAATCAACTCGCATCAGTGCATGGAAGCAACGCCCTCCGTGGCCTGTGCGAATAAGTGCACCTTCTGCTGGCGAAATCACGAAAACCCGGTGGCCACTTCTTGGGATTTCAAGATGGATGACCCCGAGTGGATCGTGCAGGAAAGCATCCGCATCCTAGCTGCAAGGGTCAGGAGCTGTGGGCAATGTAGACAGCATTGATTGCTCCATGAGGAAACTGTTCGAAACGAATGCACTCGAACAGTTTCGACCTTAAACTCCAGACCCCAATCCGGAAATCCTTAAAACCTACTGCCCAGAAGGAGCACTTTGTTGAAGAGACATGCTCCCTGATCGAGCACTGAATACGTTGATTTTGGCTTCTCCCGGCCGAGGCAACCACCTGGAACTCGTGGAGGAGGTCTCCAAGTCCCCGCGCGCTGGCCCGACGGGTTAGGGTTTACAGGAGAAGCCCAAACGTTGGGAACCCAATAGCCCCAATCCGTAAGAGTCATGTATAGGGAATCCCAGCACTGGTTGTCCTTAAATCCGGTTTCCAACTGTTTGGGGTTTAAAATAGGGTACAGAGAGACGAGAGAGTAACATGAACCTTCTGTCGGCAAGATTTAGGGGCTTGGAGTGTTCAGCGGTTTCGGACTTAACACTAAGGACTAGAGTTTGTCATAAACATGGTTTTGGGGTTTTTTGGTTTTAGCGGCTGTCAGGTGACTGAGTGACTGAGTCCGTGAGGGGGAGGGAGAGAGATAGATTTTAGCATTGAGGATTAACACTTCTCGGTTTAGGGCTCTAGGGTTTTGGTTGTGTGAGTGTGTGAGTGAGTGAGTGTGCGTACGTGCGTGTGTGTGTGTTTTGCCGGGGGTGGGGTTGGGGCATGTTGGCGCTGAGCGAGGGTTGCAATATATATGTTTGGAAGCCGCACTTGGGTCATAGCACTTCAATAGCCTGAATCCTAATGCGTTTCAGCGCAGAGCTATTACCTTGGCTTTCTCTCTCCCTCTCTCCCTTCCTCCCCCGCTCCCACCCGCTCTCTCGCTCTCCCTCTCGCTCTCTTTCTCTCTGCTATGTGTGTGAGTTGCATTAACATCATATACCGCCTAGTGTTCGTTTCTTCACTAAGGCCCGAACCTCAAATTGTAAAATTGCAAACTAAGAGCCCTCTCCTTGGTCATGGGAGTGCTCAGATCAAGGCACGCGCTACCTGACCGCGTCCTCGCAGCGCGTTCGGTGCGCCATGTGGCTCTGTCCCTGGTGGGGGAGCCGGCATCTTGGTTTGATAACCCTACCTGGTACCCTCATGTATCAGAGCTTCTTTAAACCTTTTTACTTGTAGTGTTTTTTGGTGTGACTCATAAGGTATAAGATAGGACCTTACAAAAACTGAGAAGGTTTTTGGTAGACGGGCGTTATGGGCTGTTGCTTTTGACGCATCGTCTCCCAACACATCTTCGCCGTTCCTCTGACTAACTAGTGGGGTCTGGAAGTCCCATTTCCATCTGGGGTTCAGGCAACAGGGTCAGTTCATTTAGATGCAACAGAAAAGGGTAGTATAGGTTTTTATCGGAGGATTTGGAATGGGATGCCGCGGGGGTGCTCTGGCCATGCTGATTCAAGCCTAGATCGTAAGGCGAAGGCCGGTCTCTCTGGCATAGGATCTGTGGTTCGGAGTGTAGGGTCTGAGGGTTCTGAGACTTGACTTCTTGAGTTCGCCGGCACGACGAACCTGCGTTCCAGGACCCTGTGGCGACACGCCTGGAAGTCACCCTTAGCTTGCCGGATTCCAGGATTTTTCTGGGCGTGTCGTGCTAGATCCCCCCAGGTGCTTTACCCCAAAGTGGCCGAGTTCGTGTCGTCGCTGCACAAGCACCGCATCTCCACCTTCTTCGTGACCAACGGACAGCTTCCTGGCTAAGTATTGAACATTGTGCGCCATTTCTCTCTTCCTGCATCTCTCCTCTCTCTCTGCCTCTCTCGCTCTCTGCCGAAGCACCACGTCACTACACTGTAGACCGACCCTATCTAACCCTAAACTCATTCCGTCTCTCCGCGTCCCCCAGATTCCCGGACCAACTCGCGGAGCTCCCCTGGGTGACACAGCTGCACCTCGGCAGGAAACTGTGGGTTTAGTCGGCCCCGACTCCTGTTTCTAACGCATGGGCTGCGATTTGCGCGCGCAGGTTGACTTATTATTGCACAACACACCAATCATGCCAGGTTTCGAGAGGCATGTTAAGTCGCTGCCGCACATCAGGCGTCTTGGGTGTGTGCAAGACATGAGACTGCTGCTTCCCAAAATGCAGAGTAGCTCATCTGGAAATTTTGAAGAAAGACTCCGTACATACATCCTCTTGAACATCTGGCAGTGCCGGTTGCATCCGATGAACAAACATGCATTTTAGAATTTTGGGGCCGGTGTCTGAGGTCGACGCCCGTGGCAAGTCTTGCAGGTACGCTTTCAGCCTCCCATTAGGCCCTCTTCGTTGGGCGCTCAGCCCAGTGCCTCGCTGCGGAGAAGTGCTTCCGGGCACGGCGCGGTGCCTTTTTGCCTGGGGTGCAAAGGCTTAATCTCAGATTGTTTCTTCTGGGGAGTCTTCAGGGCGCCGGCCCAGGTACGTCTCTTTGGATGCACCAGATGCTACAACCCTACGTGATGTCGGTCGTCCCCTTTTCCGAGACTACTGGGATCGCCTACGAAGGTCTCTGGCTGTTCTGCACGAAAAGCATCCGAAACAAAGGACGCCGTGCCTCATTCTGATACGGGTGCGTTAGTTAGCACGTCACCCCCTTCATCAGAAGTATTGTGTTCATGATCATGATCAGCACAATGACCATCGGCGGGGTCCAGAACTCTCCGCAAGCTCGCATCCGATGCATTTGCGTGAGCGATTGCCTGATTAACCATTCGATCGTGCCCCTGCGAGGACGGTCTGTCGAATGACTGTGCTCAAAGGTGTGGCCGAGAACGATGAGGCCTGTCAAGGCTATGCCGACCTGATCAATATCTCGCAGTGTGATTTCGTCGAGATCAAAGCTGCGACTTATTCACCCGTGTGGGACAAGCGCAACTCTGGACTCTCGCGGGACAGTATACCGAGGCACGACGATGTGCTGCAGCTTGCTCGCCGCTTAGTCTCCAAGTTGCCCATGCACCTCGGACCCCGTTGGGCCCATTTCGACTTCTGCATGTATGCCAGCTGCCCGCAAACCCTCAAAAACTCCACAATCAAGACCCCGAAGCTGAAGGCTGAAAGCCTAGGCCCCGATCTCAAAAGCCACTAAGCCCTAACCATCTAAGCCTGAAGCACTGATCCCTGAAGCCTTGAGCTGCAAAGCTGAAACTCCGAAGCCCTGACTCCTAGCCCCACGACCCCGGACCCCGAACTCTAAACTAGGAGGCCAGATTGAAGCACTAAAATCAAAAAGCCTTACTTTAGAACGCTGAAGCCACAAAAATCCAGGTATGGGATTGCAGCTGAGCATGAGCATAGCTTCTGCATCCTTCTCGGGCGTCGGGACCGCTTTTACGAGCCTTGGCAGCCAAGTTGATCACATTTCTCCGATTCCACCGCAGCATTTAGGGCCGCTTAGGGTTGAGGGTTAGCTCGATGGTTAGGTACCTCTGAAGTTGCTGGCAGGCTTAGCGACCGTTGCGAAAAAGGGTTTAGGGTGTGAGATGGTTTCTTGGCACGAACAGATCATCGTAAGCCGCAGTTGGGATGCCTAGACCCGAACCCTGCATGAAGAGGACCCGTCGAACAAACAGACCGAAAAGACAAGGGAGGCCGGAATCACGATGCTCCCAAGGAGCCCTTTGGCGCGTGGAGAACCTGGATCGATTTCGACAAGCTTCCGGGCTTCAGCAGAGCGGAAGGGTTTAGAGTTTCGGGTTTATGAGATAGCTTTCAGACGTCTGGGGGCTGAAGATTTCGGGGTTCAGAAAAGGTTTGATTTAGGGGAAAGAGTTCAGTTTCTGCAGGGCCTAGGGTTGCTCCAGTGCAACTGCTGTCCTAGTCCTATTTTGACGGTGGGCAGGGCGTTGCTTTGGTAAGCATGTGTCGTGCTGCGCTGGATGGCTTTCTGCTTGTTCCGTTATTCTTTTGGTCGCTACTTCTGGAGTTGCTACTCAAGTTTTGCAAGGGTTCTCTTGAGACCTTCTTTAATCATAGTCTCGTTTTGGGGCCTATAAGGACTGCGCAAAGACGACAGCTAGGTCTGGTGCTTGAGACTTGCGCAGCAAGTCTCGTCCTTGCCCGAGCCTTAATCTTTCACCAAAATCCAGGGTCAAAACCCTGTGCACTAAGCCCGACACCCTGGATCACAGTACAGGGGATTAGCAGCTTAGTCGTTAGAGTCGGGTTCTGGAGTATAGTCTGCTGATGTCTGCTGGTGCTATCAACCGTGTGTCAGGGATGATGTTTTTCCAGAAATGCTGACAAAGCATTGCAAAACGGGCGCACCTGCAAGTTCGTTAAGGAAGTGCTTGTATTCGGCGGTATGGCGCTCTCAAGGGCTGTACTTCATATTGTAGGTGTGCGAAATAGCGCTTGGCGGTATCCTAGCCATGACCATTTATGCAACCCGCCACACTTCCGTTTTCAGACCGGAGAACGCCTCATTACTATCTAAAAACAGCGGAACCCAAAACCATTCCGAGAACCTAAATATCACACCCGTAGCGAGGTCTGCCCGAGTCTGAGTGTCAAAACCCCGACGAGGTTCGCAGACGCCGCCGAGAAAGGAGAGACCCTGGACGCAACAGACTTTGCCGCTGAGACGCCCCACTGGGCCCTGCACCAGGGTATATCGAACCGGCTCCTCGCCAGAAGAGCTTTGTATGGATTGTAGGGCTTTAGAAGCGCTTGGATTACATGATTGTGGAGGCCTCTGGGGGTAGAGGTTGAGAGTTTGCAGCTTAGGGTGTGGGTTTGGGGGTTCGGGAATCTTTAGGATCTTTAGGGTGAGGCTGTTCGTGGCAGCGCACGCGTAATGCAGAGCAGGGCTTAGGGGTTTGTCGTTTTGGTTCTGGGGTGTTTCAACGGAGTCCTGGCAAGGCACACAACGAACCCTTTAAGTTTTTGTGTTCATCAAGGTTTTGGGTCTTTGTGCATATGGTTTCGATGCGGATCAAGAGCTCAAACCCTTTCAACCTTATATAAGGCATGAACCCCAATCTTGCGATGACTCGAAGGTTTCGTCTTCGGACCTTGCCTGGACTTGTCCGAGTTTTTTTTGCACATGTACTACTGTGTAGTAATAAAGTATATCTACACACATATATACATATATATATACACATACACACACACACACATTCTGTACACCCTGACAAAAAGGCTATAATCGTCAGAACAGAGTTATGACATGTTATAGTAGAAAATTATGATAAGCAGCCCCCCCAGAGAGAGTTAAATTTCGAAGCTGCACCACTCTAACGCCCTATACCGGCCTAAACCAAATACCAAAAGATCCGACCCGTTGGCGAAGGTACGATGGGAAGATCGGGTTCGACCCGCAGGAGGTGCGGCGCTGGCGCCGTCCGATGCCCCGCTTCTTGGAAAGAGCTCTTGGCAACTCTCTTCTTGGGTGCTCTTAAATGGCATGTTACATCTTCAGCATCATGAACACTTAAACAAACCCAACTATACTCCAATATTCAGTTGTGCGACCTTTCGGAGGGGTGTAGTATTCTTGCAATATTGGCCCACAGAGCGTTTTGTACAGGTTAGAGCTTAAGCAAGAAGTTTCGCTGCACATGACTGGCTGAATGTGTTTTCTGGGGCGTGAGTCATATGTTAGGATGTGAGTAGTGCTTGTGTACGCTTTTAGTTGCTTAGGCTTACGTACTAGTAGGTGTTGATTCCGTGTCGTCAAAGGTTTCAGGGGGTTTCCGGTATACCGGAGGTTGAGCTGTGGCTTGTAGTTTACATCTTGGGTTCCAGGGCTTGGGATTCTGATTGTTGGTCTCTCTGGATTTGGGTGCGTTTGGTTGGGCAGGCCACGTGACTGAACATATGCTATGCAAGTTGCGAGTTTCAGACAGGCGCCCAAATATAGGGCTTAGTTCAAGCTGATGCGAAATCACTGTCACGCTTAACTAAAACCTGTCGTGCTACCCCCTGTTAGCCGCCAAGCTCTACAGCCTCAGATCCCGAATATCCAAAGCGCCAGGACTGACTCGATGTGAGAAAAAGAAGCTGTGGCCAAAACACAAGATGATGGTGGACGTAGCCGTCCTCACGCCACAGGAGCTGCGGGTTTTTATACGCGGTTTCTGTAATCGCAACATTAGACTAGTGGAGGTCACCGGAAGTTTCGGAGACCGCTCATATCATGCACGCCATCTCCTGCAAGCATCCGTCACGGCACTCCCGCAACTTGTTCGCGATTAACTACAGAGAAACGGTTGGAATCCCGAATCCTGAAACCCAACACTATGGGGGCCTAAATAATTACCAAAACTATTGCGGGGATTCCTGATAATAATTATAGTATGATGGGCCGCAAAACCCTGTTTTAATAGTTAAGGCCCTTATAGTACCGTGGACAGGAAGGGCTCGACGAGGCCGCGCAAGCACAGGAGCTCTTAAAGCAGCCGCACGTCCGCAGCGTAACCATCTTCGAGCCCGTGGGCACCGGGCACGACAAAGAAAGGGTCGGGGTGCGTTACGTGGCCGGTGACCGCGACCTGAACATCACGTGCCTTGGGCCTTGCATGTGAGGTATTTTCAACGTTTCTTGTTCCGGCCGCCGTGTTTTGTGGCGAGAAACTTCGGTTGGCCAGACCCGGAGGCCCGGAAACAACTGAGGTACAAAGAGGCTGGACTGGCTTTCAACGTGGACCTGGACCGGCGCCTGAGTCGGCTGAGCAAATGCCAAGGTGGCATACATGAGCCTCGGGTGTTCCTTCGGAATCATTGTTTAGTATACGGAAGAAGCCTACTACAAAAAGCCTGTATGTGTAAGCCTTCTGAAGCGCTGTAAATAACCAAAGGAGCGCGAGCGCATCTGTCAGCTGGTACAGCCTCGAGAGCGTGTTCTCGCTGCTCTGATATTCTTAAGGAGTCATGTTCACAGTTGTTCACCTCTTGAAAAAAGGCTTCTTATCCAACCCCATGCGCATGCTGCTGGTATGCGGGCTTGTCCGTGATGTACACCCTGGACAATAGCGAAACCCATGGTGACTTGAGCTTTATCCGTCAATGCCAGGATGGTCTGACCATGTCTGACCTCGGTAAATTTTCGAACTCGGGGCCACAGGGTCTGAGGACATGTTCTGCAAAGTACGTTCCTAAGCTCCGCTTGCAGCAACCCCAAATCCAGAAGTCTTAGATTGTAAGCCTCATGAGTCCAAAACCCAAAGCAACCATGCCCTGCAAGCCGTGAGCACTGAGCTCAATCCGTCTTTTCTTACGCTTAGCCTCAAAGCCGTGAATTCAACCTGAACCCCGAAGTTCTGAGCCCTACGAATTTACAACCCACCATCATTACCAACACAGTACCTTCTAATTTGTTGATATTCGTATCATTTTGGGCTCCAAACGCCAAAACCACATTTGTGTCTCAACGCCTTTCAACACACGAAGCATATCCGGAAAAGCGCTTTGGCAACTCTTATCCATGCCTCTAAACTCGAAACCCATACCCTAACCCAAACAAAGTCCATCAACCCTAAAGGCAAGCACGGCAGCTTTAACCCAAAGCCAAGCGCTCTCGAGGTGTTGGGCTCGGGTATCGGTCTCTTTGTCATACTTGGGTAATATTTTACATTTTTGGGGGTACGAAGAAAAGCTTAGATTTTTAAATACTATCCCTATCATGATCCAGGTCTGACGGCCTGCCTGGTGGCAGCCCGGACCGCCTGCAGAGAGGTCGTGGCTTTGGAGCCCGACGAGGTAAGAACTGCGGGCGGTTTGAAAAGCGGTTTCTGGGATTCAGGGTGTTCAAGACAAAGCTTATGGACTTCAGGGCGCTTTAGACATGCTTTATCAGATTTAGCGTGGTTTTGGAAAGGGCTTATGGGATTTTGTAGAACATTCTAGAAGGTTTCGGCGATCGAGGGGCTATGGGGTTCAGGGAGGCCCAAGAGGCTGGCTAAGGTCGAGGGTTTAGTGCATGCTAGGCGGTGTAGGATTGAGGCTTGCGGCCTCATTTTTTTATTCAGGGTTTGCAGTTCCAGGTTCGGGGGTTTATGCACAAGTCCTGATGCAAAAAGACTGAACCAGTAGCAGAAAGGGTTTGGGGGGTTTGGCTCTCACGACTCAGTCGCTGGCTGATGGGGGGATATACCCTGGATCCTAAGCTCATGACGCTAAACCTGGAATCCCAAACCGTACAACCCGAAATCAAGGTGAAACACGAGTTTGCTTTGGCGAACATCAAGGCGAACAAGCTTGACGGCAAGGTCTCCAGCCTTTGCCGCAGCTCCATAGCTTTTTGAGATGTTTTCGTTAAGTGGGGCTGCAGAGTGTTTTTCATGGGCTGGTAGTGGTCTAGGTGCCTAGGTGTCTCAGTGCAACAAGAACCCATGGATGAACACATCCGTGCTTGGACCGTAATACACTGATGAAAAATGAGTTCCTCCCTTATATATCCTTAAGACAGCACTGAGGCAGCTCACTAGATGTTGAGGGCCTTGGCCGATTTGATCGCATCTGTGCATTCCTGAAGTTCCAACCTTTGGAGAACCTCCAGCATCTGGTGCCGGCAATAAGAGAGGCTCGGTCTGTTAGTGCTACCTTTTTTGGGTGTAGGGGGTACTACCAATAGGCCTGGATACAAAATTGGGGTAGTACCCTTCCACCCTTTGTTATTTTTGGGGTCTCCTTATGAAAGCACAGCATGACAAAAGGTGCCTTTTTTAGGGTGGCCACAAAGTATTGATATTTATTTGGACCCCTCTATTAGACCCCCCAAAATACCCCTTTTCGTATCCCGAATAGGACCCTTTTCAAGAACCCTTTAAAGTAGCCCTTAAGAGTTCTACCTGTACTCGGGAACCCAGGAGGGTGGGATGCTGCACTTCTACAACCACGAGTCCAAGGACCCGGCGCCAGCCAAGGGGTTGAAGGTACGGTAGATAGTAAATAGCTAGGATTCAGGATTCCGTTATGGCATTATACGTCTTTGTACTATACTATACTAGACCGTACTATACTATAGTGTCATATTAATATTGCAGTATCAAAAGCGGCACCTTATGATGACCCTTGGTTGGGGTTACCCGGCACCCACCTTGAAAGGAGGAATATCAACGTGAGCCTATCGAACTACTGCGTTCCATGGAGGGCATGTGTGGAAACAGAGCTGTGGAAATCACTTGGCGCGGCAAAGTCCCGCGCAAGTCCATTTCACCCAACATGTACAGGGTGGGTGTGGATTTCCGCATCTCGTAGTTCATGTGCAGGTTGGATGCACCAAAGCGAAGTGCAAAACTGGCTGCAATATAACTAAGGGAAGCTGTGGCAAGGAAGGAGTGGAAGAATCAGATGGTTGACATGCAAGCTGCTATCGTGGAATCGACCGAGGTCACATACTCCTCCTGACAGATGGAGTCTGGCCCTTGGCCCGTGGAAAGCACAGGCCAGAAAATGCCGACTGTAGATCATTTGATTCCCCAAACAGTGTACCGGAAGTACCCTTCCATGCCGTCAGTGACTTCGCGATTGCCACCGGGTGGAGCGATATTTATGCATGTTGAGGCCCCTTGAAAGCCATTGTTGATTATCCTTAGGTAAATGTGCTTCGTTGCAGGGTCCGGGCTGCATACTGTCCTTGGGAGTTTTCAAAAGCTAGGGGACTGAAGTCGGAAACTTCGAAAAGCAGGCTGATGAAGATGAGGAGCCCCTACCGTGAGATCTAAACCCAAACCTCAGCTGAACAGACCCAGCAGTGAGAGCATAAACCCCAAACCCACCCTAAACCCCCTAAACCTCAAACCCTATAACCCTTCCACGAAACAGTTGAGGGCATTCAGTTTCCAGTTCGAGCTTCAAGCTACTCCAGGCTTAAAGCAGACCGACGTGATAATTGTTTCGTAGCTACTACTGTGTCGCTTGATTCGCAGTTGAACATAACTAGAGCTGAAGCATTTCTAGACATCGGCCCTTGGTTCCTCTGCAGACTCTACAGCCTGAACACGTGGAAGGCAAAAGACCCGAAACTCTAAAGGCTCCAGCCCAAAACCCTATTCTGAGCCGCTAGTTTCCTACTGCTCTTCTCATAAGTCCGAAACCCTAAGCACCAACACAAGTGCATAATGCCATGTTTCTCTCGCCTAGTGGGACCTCGTTGCAATCCCCACCTGGCTTGTGTTGCAAGTGTGGCTTCCACAAGCCCTAAGCCTCGAAGGCTCAGCGGTAACCTCATAAAGCCTAGGCCCTAAACCCGGCAGCGTCTGCTGTCCCTGTAGCACATGAGCTCTTCCCCTCGAAGCGAACAATCCTCGCCTGCATTGCCCGAGTTGCGAGAGTCCAAACCTGAAGTTTCAGCGCCTAACTTCTATTCTAATTCTATACTATATTTTATTCCACTATATCATATGCTATATTACATGAGATGATAATATGTTATGTTACATTGTACCATATTATCTCATATTGTATTGTATTTTCCATATATAGTTTCGTATCATTTGAACCGCCAGTCCTTTCTTGGCGATTCGCGGACGTAGCTCAGGTCCCCACCCATGGAGATCCAGAGGCTCTGTTCCCCGCTGTTTGGTGATTAAAAGTAGTTCAAGGGTTTGGGGATTTAAGGTAGAGGGTTTTGCGGTTTTAGGGTTGTTGAAAAGGGTAGCACAGGGGTTTTCAGAGGTTAGAAAGGAAAGATACTCGCAAGACAAATATAGTGTTGGTGCCAGACCCATTGAATGTGAGACATCGGAGTGTGAGTACGTAAGAGACTACGACGCAGATGCTTTGAGTTTCCCTTAGACTATCACGTTCACAGGGTTTGTGAGGATGGAGTCGGAGTTTCAGCGAAGCTTTGGGTTTGAGATTCAAGCATTACAGCCATAACCGCAGATGCTGAAGCCCGCCAAGCATGCAGTCGCACGCTGGTGGGAAACCTTTGAGGCTTGGGGCTTCTCAGGAACAGCAGGCGGCAGCATTTCAGGGACCTAGGCCGATGTGGTAAAAAGTCCAGGGAAAGGTCTATATGGCTATCCATTCATGCTTTCTGTTGCATAAAGAGGACAGGTACTTATTTGATCGCCCACCTCGTGGCACCGGCTCTGCGGTATTCAGTGCGGTGCTACCACCTCAGCTCGAACTCGTGCTTAAACATGCCCGAACTCAAATCCGAAACCTCAAGAGGCAATGTCATATAGAGGTCTGAATACTTAGCACAATGTTCCCGATCCCCGTGCAGTCGCCACAGAATGCCGCTAAAATCCTGTTCCAAGTATCAAGGTCCCTCTTGTATGCTCCAAGCCTCCCAGACTCTCACATGAAGGAAACCCGAAACTGCAAGCCTTACGCACTTTTCCTGAAACCTTCAATCTTAACCCAGACACTCAATCTTGAACCTCGAGCCGCCGCCATGCAACCCTGAACCTGAAACCCTGAACCCGGAACATCTTTTGGAGGCAGTACTGGTTCATAGTGCTCCGTATGTGTAGATGCCAGCGACGTGCACACCATTCATAAGTTGCCAAGCCATGCAGCTGGTTTTCCCTAGTCGCGATCAAACCGACCGACTGGCAGCAGCGGGAAGCCAGCAAACGGTTTTGCGCCAAGAGGCCACCATGAAGATGCAGGAATCGATGGATGTGAGTCGTAGCCTGGAGGCAATGTTGCCTGCGCATGAAAGAGAAGAACCGCAATCGGTGGGCTGCACGGTTTCGCCCGTTGATGGAGGCGATGACCGATGAAAAACTTCGAGCACGGAAGAGAGACAAAGAGGTGTTGAGCAAGTCCAAGAAAGTGACAAAGGCTAACCTGCAACCCCGAGTGTGTGCTCTCGAGGCCAAGCTGCAGGAGTATGAAACTCGCTTTGAGGAGATGCAAGTGACGACTGCCAGACTCGTCGAGGAAAGGATGCGAAGCAGCCAGTGAAACCCACAAGGCGGCAAGAGAGTCAACACGTTTGAAGGAGCCAAAAGAGAAGCTGGAGCCAAAGGAAGGGAAACAACTAAAGATGGAAAAGCGAAGTGTGAAGGAGGAGGTCGGCCCCTCTAAGAGGTTGAAGCGCGAGACACAGGATGCCCCTTGGATCTGAACCCCGAAGAACCCACGGGTATGCAGCATCAACGATGGCCCTGTGCGTCGTCTCTCCCGCGCCGTCAGCGAGATGCGGAACCGGCGAGCAAGCATGGAAGACGGCCTTAAGCCTTGCTCCTCCTGGGGTGTGCTGGACGGCCACAGTGGGGCCGAGGTGGCAGCCTTCGCCTAGAAGTACTTGCCACAGGAGCTCTTCAAGATCCCGCAGGATGACATGAAGCATGGCCTGACAGGTGCGTTCCGCAAGGTTGATGAGATGTATTAGAGCCGTGATTATGCAGATGAGCTCAAGAGCAGGAAAGGCGTGCTGCTTCCTCCTGTTGAGAATCCACGGCCTGCGTCTGCTGCGTTGCGGCCGCGCAGCTCATGCATTCTTGCTAACACGGAAAACAGCCGGGCCATGATCTCGAGAGCCGGCAGGGCCGTGGACCACAAGCCCGGCGTCGCTGAAGAGAGGCGGCGCATCGAGGCATTTGGCGGATGGATGTCGTCCGGAAAAACTTTCCGGTTGCACTGACCAGAATTTGTCCCGAGCTTTGGGGTTTCTGCGCTACAAGGATGTCCGGAGGCCTCCGGAGGAGCAGATCTTGTGCTCTAACGTCCCTGCGATGCGGGCTTCGTCCTTGCTAAGTAGGAGGGAAGAAATGACACCGGTTGTGGTCATCGAGGACCGGCTACCGGAGGACGAGTTCGTGGTTCTCACCACTGATGGCGTCACCATGGACTGCCAGTAGGTCGTGGACTTCATTCGTGCCCGCTACAAGCAGACCTGCAAGCTGCACGAACTCCTACTTCAATCAAAGGCCCAGAATATGCCGGCTTGAATGGAGCAGGCTTGCTGACATACAGGCTCGAGGATAAGTTGCCCGCCCGTCACATGGACAGCACCCACTCAGTGGGCTTTCTCCAGGGCCTGGCAAGATCCAGCCGGCATGACAAACTCCTTTTCTTGGATGTTCTGCCTGGCGAATGCTTGCAATGAGATCCAGCCGACGCACAATCATGTTAGTTTTGCGGCTATTGGGCCATGACGTTTTGCAGAGCTGGCGTGAACTTCCCGATCGCCGTTACTGCATCCATCAGGCAGCTGGCTGTGACAGTCCCTCCACCTAAGCCAGCAACCAGAAGAGGCTTTGCTGAACACCACTGCATCACATGCTTTGCCACCTGAATGGCCGAGCATGTTCGCTGGATGTGCACCGAGCTGGCCGTTTGATTGTCCGTATTCACCGCCTGGCTGGCAGTCGTGCAGCCTCATGATTTCAGAACCCTACTTTCGGGGTGCACATGAAAAGTGCATCGAAGTGGGAATCGGGAGCACGGAATTGCGTAGGCACCTGTTGCTTGAGCAACAAGTGCTACTGGCGAGTGTGTGTGTGTGTGTGTGTGCAGAATGGGCATGTTGCGTGTAGGTTGTGCGGATTGTGACATGAGCTTGAAATGTGCAGCCATTTACTCGTTGCTGCTCGAGTTGAGGGTAGAGCGGCAGAAGCGTGTTTCACATTCGGTGCGCTCCAGATTTTCCATTCCCCTCCCTCCACTCCATCAGAAATTCCTTGGGTGGGGGGGGGCTGAGGTCTTCGTTGTGTGAGCTTGCCTCTTTTGAGGGTGCTGAGTCTTCACTGCTGGCTGGTGCTGCTTGGTGGTGGTGGTGGCTTCGTGTACTTCGTCTACTTGGCTATTGGAGTTGGGGGAGTGGCGCGGTTGCGTGCTACCTCTCTGCTGTTCTTCCTTTGCCTCCGGTCCATGACCTGAGCCCTGAGCCTTGCAACGACTTCCGCTGTTGCTGGCTCTCTTCTGCGTGCCACTGCTTGTGGCCTGTGCAACACCTCACTGGTGCTGCTATGTGCGGCAGCGCTGCTTGCCTGCCTCCTTTGTGTGTGTGCCACGGTCTTGTGGCTGTGCTTAGTGTTTTTTGTGCTACTTGGCTGACGAGACCTTCGCCGAGCTGCTGGGCGTCAGGCTGCTGCGGCGTGCTGCTGGTGCGCTGGCGCGGCTGTGTGCCTTCTGAGCTCGTACAACGTCGTCTACCACCTTTTGAGGAGGCGTGTACAAACCACCCGTAGTTGTTCGCAACAATACGTTGCAAGACGCTTGCGCAAATGCCGGCCAGTGGACTTTTCGAAGACGCTGGACTCAATCAAGATTTACATGGACTGGAAGGTCCGTTTGTTGACTTAGGGCCGTCTCATCCCCTGCCAATGTGACAAGACCTCTGTGAGCACCGAATAAAAATGAAGGTGGCAGTGCACGTGCTTTTGTGTTGCATAAGAATCCCGTTGGAGGCCCTTGCCGAGAGGGCCTTGGCCCAGCATCTGGGGGTCGCAGTGACCTGAGCGCCCTTGACGAGGTTTCTCTTCGGTTAAAACGTGAAGAGTTCAGGGTTTGGCGAAGTGGAAGCCCTGTTGCAAAAGGGCTTCGTAGGTATTGGGTTGAGGGCCTAAGGTTAGGGGACTCATGGGCGGTTATGAAGTGGGGTCGTAAGGGTAGTTGTAACAATCATCTCTGAGAAGCCTCTCGCGTCACGTCAGGAGGGCTCTGAGTATGTTGGGGCGCTTCAAAGCTTACTGTAGGGTTTTGAGTCCGGTTCAAAAAAAGTCGGGCTTCAAGAGTTTATAAAAGGCATTCGATTCTAAGGCTCTGGCTGTCGGGTTCTCACGGCTGTGGTTTTAGCGGCTTAGGAGTTTAGGGCTGATGGTTGAGGGCCAAGGCGATGTTCATAACTTGCGAAGATATATGGGTGTGAGGATGAGCTTCCGGTCGAGTTCAGGGTGTCATGGTTCTGACAAGGATTTGACGCATGTCGGCAGCTTGGAAGTTGTGAGTGTTTTCCGCTTTTGCTGATGTCCGTTGATGTTGCCAATGTTGATTGCGTCTTAGCAATCTCGCCCGTGTATGATCATGGTGTCAGGTATTGTTCCTGTATCTTCAAGATTTGTTTATTCAAACTTATTCAAAACGAAACCTTCCTCCTTCCTGCTACGACGGCGACGGCGACTACTGGATGACGGTGAAGCTGGCAGTGGTCGTGTCATGCTTTGGTTTTACTGGCAAGCTGCCCCCTGCCGCTGTCCTCCGGGGCATTTTCCGGCGACTCGAGGTCATTCATACCGTCTACTTGGGATGGTCGGCGGCTCAAGTTCTGGTGACTGGGCTTTTGGCCATCTCCAACTTAGTTTCAGGTGGTTTCGAGTCCCGGGGTGGTCGTCGTCGCACCATTGTCGCAGACTTAGCCTAAGGGTCCGAAAGCCAATGATGTTTTTGGTTCGTTTTTCGCTGGGATCTTTCCTAGAGTTCGAGACTCATGGCTGTCATGATGTCATTCTCTGCCGAAGTAGACAGATGTGTGCGTGTGCGCCGTCTCTGCCCCTAAGCACGATTCTTTGGCGATTGCTAGGAAGGTCTGATTGAGTCAGACAGAACAACATCAGAAGTAGCAATCTTTAGCGTTTGTCTAAAGCTGGTTCGGTCCAGCTTGCGAGGCGTTGCAAGCACGCCCGCAGCACTGCTGTTCCGGACCCGGTCTCCGAACCTTGACTCACCCATAATTAAGACAAATTCATGCTAAAGCCCCATCAAGCCCATAGAAACCTAGTACTCTTAAACTCTGCAGCCCTAACGCCTCGATGTGCCGAGCCCAAGAAGCGCGAGAAGAGCCCCTGGCATTCAATCACAGCATGCAGCCCAAAATTTGGGTCACGTTCCTGGCTTGAGAACCCTATACCATCCTATCAAACTCTTCCCAAATCTGGGGAAACCTTGCAAAATCTATGGTACAGAGCAACCCCTACTTTCGGGGGGGCAACTATCCCCTAAACTATCCTAAGCCCTAAGCCCTTAAAAATAGCCATGCTCGATCTACAGCTGCCGGCGATCTTCGGCTTGCACTCCGTGACCTCGGCATCTGGGATGCGACGGCAGTTTGAGGTTTTTATAGTAAGAGTATAGTAAGGGTACCACAAGGGGTTTAGGATTTTGGGGGTCGGGAATTTATGGCCCTATGATTGCTGGTGTGTGTTAGTGTGGCTTGCTGCGGAAGCTAGCTGTGCTGTCAGAACAGTTCAAATCCGGGTTGTACTGAAAAGAATGTAGGCTGCTGAGAGCCGGGCAGTTAGTCTTTTGGAACCTCGTGACCCCAACAACATGGGGGCTTGAACAATTATAGCAGTGCTAGTTTTCATAAGGTTTCCCAATTAACATGTATCGTACGCTATTCCCGGAAGCTCTATCATAGTGGTCAATGCCCCTATATAACAGAACCTGTAAAGCAAGCCGTAGAGGCAAGCCACACAGCACATAAGCCTTTGGAGAGAGTAACTCCATCTGCGGTGTAGTTGTTGTCCGAGACTGAGGCGATAAACCGGCGCTGCTAATTGTGTACCTGTCCGTGATTTTCTGTTTGTTGCTAGTTTCGGAGACGCAAGTAGGATAGCTTATGACCACAACGATACTGGTGTCGGTATTGTTGGTTCTGGCGATACCCAGAACCCTACAGCGCAACTCTATAGTACGAGTTCGTTTCGTCACTGTTGAGAGACCCTCCCGGGGTCCCATGGAAACATCAGACTGGGAAGGCTTCCCGTTACGAGAGTTTTAGGTTTCGGGTTTGAAAGCTCCAGTTGTGCAAAGGGTTTAAAGTTTAAGGTTAATTAAGTATATGGGTTCAGCTTGGGGCACAACTTAATGGAACATCAGCGCAAATTGACTGGATTGGAAACCTAAAGTAGCTATCACTGACAGCTTGGGATCTGAAGCGTTTGGATGAAGATTTTGTTGACCACGAGCTGACGGACTGCTAAACACGACTGAACATGCTTTGCAAGTATGGAGAAAAGTACGAGGCCAGGGACCCTATACTGCAGTCTGGAAACCCGCAAGCACCAAGCTTTGCGAAGACCCTGAATACCTGTTTGAGGTCTCCCTGACGCTCCTGAACAAGCAGCTCTCTGCAGAGATCCCCTACCCTTGGACCATTGCACCTTGCCTTCTGGGTTTACGGATGCCGGACAGGCTAAGTCCGGCAGAGTTTGCAGGAAGAATGGGGGGGGGCGGCTGCCGTTACAGCTGCTGTGGTCTTCTAGGTGTAGGTTTTCGCCATTCAAGTTCACAAGTGCTGCCTCCTTGTGTAGTCTGAGGTTGCTTCATTTCCAAGTTTGTGTCTGCGGCTGCAGGCTTTTTTGCTCCCGACCGGATAGCAACATAAGCATTCATAGCCTGCGTACTGGTGCACCCGGCCGGAGGGCTCCGGACTCGCGAGAAATGCAGATCCGATGCCGCTTTACCTTCCTCGAAGCGTTTGTGGAAGAAGGTTCCTCAAGCCTTCGACGGACTGTCAGTGAACCGCATTCTTTCCGACCGACCTACATCCAGGGTGGCGCTACCGAACATGAGGACATGCAAAGAGACCTGAAGGGTTGGGCCAGTTTCGGAAGCATTGGACATCCGGTTCTTTGCTTTCGGCCCTGTGTGCGCTTTGCCAAAGGATTCTGCGCACAAGGCTCTTCTTGTGCCTACTGCCACGGGACGCACAAGCCTGTTCGGATGCCGGAAAAGGAGGATCGCAAGATGTTGCGACGCTTGTCCGTGGCAGACCTCCTGAGGGTGACACTGAAGCCACTGAAGCAACGGTGGAGTTCGCCGAATGCCAGCGCAATTTTCGCTTTGCTGGCAGAAGAAGAAGAGTTTGCAAAGCGAGCTCTTCCCCATGGTGAGGGTTGCCGGCTGTCGCGCACAGCGGTTTTGCAGCTGCGGCAACGTTTGCTTCGTGCTACGATGAATTTCCGCTCTTTGTTGACTTTCGTCGCCTGGAGATGCCGCCCTGCCACTGCGAATCAGCTCATGCAGCTGATGGAGGCAGCTCCAGACACTGAGCAATGAAAGATTCCTGAAATTACAGTAGAGAATCTGATCCGGAATGCACATGCCCATTCGAGTCGTTGTGTTCGGCATGCAACACTTGACATAAGTGCCTTAGAAAGCATCGACAAGATGAGACTAGACGGGCGTTAATGCATCAATGTGCGTCCCTGCCAGAGTCTCCTCGGATTGCTGACAATTCACTTGTTTGTGTGCCGCGGGAAGCTGCGCAAGCCCAGAGCTTGGGGTTCGTGTCCTGCGCGATCTGACTGTAGTACAAGAACTTCGCTTTAGAGAGATCTGAGCCCAGGGTACTTATCGCCTTCTCATCAGTCTGGATTCGTGGGGAAGCCTTAATTGCCAAGCGAATTCGGCTCTGAGTGGTCTGTGAAGGCCACTCTTGGCAGTTCTGCCTTTTGCTGCTGCATGGTCCCTGCGACTGCTTCTATATGCTCTGGTACATGTGAACAGTAAATTAACATCTATAGTCATCTATAGAGTGAGAGACAGCATAGCAGCCTGGTTGGTACACCTGGCTTCGTTTCCGGAGCCGAGGCGGGACAGAGTGAAGGCTGAAAGGGCGGCACGTGCATCGGCTTCTCAGCTTCATGTATCGCTGTGACGCAGCCTGTGACGGTGTTCCTTCAGCACATGGCGCATGTGACGCGGATGTCGTCGAAGCAGATATGGTCATAAGACTCGCATTCATGACCCAATATGTGCATGCATCCTCTGTTTTTCTTGTAATTAAATCTGAGTCTATGCGCTACATTCCAAGGTGTTTTGGATTTTTTTGCTTCACTACGAAGCCTTACTAATAGCAACTTGTCGACAAGAGTGTCGCCAATATGGAAGCCTGAAGACTTGGTTGAAGCGAATGGTTCCTCCAGACTCCGTAGTGGAAACTCACAATAGGAGCCACCGTCTTAACCCTAAGCCCTAAGTACCACCAAACAGTAGTCCAAATATTCAGCTTCCTGCATTCCTGACTTAAGCTCCGTGCTTTGTGGAGCTCAATGAGGTCAATGAAGGCCCTCTTTGAATGCACCCTGGTTCAGTAACTACTGGGTCCCGGTCATCAAACTGCGGCTAAACTAGCACAGACAGGCACATACAGATAGAATATGCAGACGGTGTTCTTCGTGTTGTAAATCTGGTAGTCTTCAACAGGTTAAGGTTCGTGTTGAAATGCTTGCTAGAAGTTCGAAGATTTGTTTTTTGGCCTTCAGCCCAGGGCTAGGCTTGGATAGGCTTCTGAGGTTTTAAGGCTTAGCGGTGTGGCTCGAGGGTCGCGGATGTTTAGGGATGCGGCCTCTGCAGCAGAACCCAGGGTTCATTCACTTGCCGAGTTTGCCTCCCTTCGTCAATAGCGAAGGCAATTCAAATTCAATTCCCCTCCAAGTCCCCCTTCGCGAACAGCGAAGGCTTTTGGTGAGACTTGTTTCTGGTGTGCTTATGGGTGGAACTTCGTGAATGCGCTGCATGCAAATGCTGTAGACTGTAGCACTGGAGGACGCTGCCTGCAAGATAGCTTAAAGACGCCTGAGGCCGACGACCTCAGGCTGTGGCATTCGCAGTCCCCCAAACACACCTTTCTTTAGAGGCAAATCTCTCCACCGAGTGGGGTGTTAGCATGATTGAAAGTTTACAGCGAGATGGTGACTCTGGCTCTAAACTCTTGCCACTCTCTTCCCTGTGACGGCAGTGCTGGAGAGTCTCCTGGTGGTTTTCAGCACTGTCCTGAAGCCTTGCTTATCGAGAGCACAGAGATCAGACAGCGCCGAGAAAAGAGCGGAGCAGCTATCCGTCTAATACTCTATACTCTTTTATTGTATATTATACTATACTAGTTACTAGTATTCCACACACTCGTTTTGAGGGTTGGATCCTTGGGGGCTGGATCAGGGGGGTTTGAAGGCCAAAACCAATTTCCTCAATAGTGCAGTTCAATATACCGATTTAAGGTTTCAAGCTGTTGTAGTATTAGCTTATTTCTGTATTTTATTAGGAATTTCAGTGCCGGGGGCACGGCCGTTGACCAAAACATTTTAAAGCACACTGGGAAGCCAGCGTGAGGAAACCCTTTTTTGCCAAACATTTTTGCATTTGTCCAAGCCGGATGTATTGAGCGATGGTGTTCGCTTCTGTCCAAGCCGGATGTGTTGGAAGCTGAAACGTGGTCCTTTGTCACGTGCCACTGCTTGGTTGGCTTGGTTGCTTGGTTGGCTTGCTTGGCTTGCTTGGCTTGCTTGGCTTGGTTCGACTCGCCCTACCCATCCTGCACGCCCAAGCTCAGAGTGGTCTTAGAGACCGCTCCAGTCGGGCTCGGACCACGTGAGCAATGGGTCCTTGATCCGTGTGGGACAGCGTCGCTGGCCGGGCGCTGGGGATTTACTCTGTGTGCTGCTCGCCTGTCCAGCCAGGTGGTGTGTCCGCCGCGGGGTGAAATGCACACAGATTGCAGGGAAGGCCTCGCTACTATTAATAAATACTATGCCACGTACCCACACCACGGTCGAAGTATTAACTTCGATCACTGCTGCTTGCCGGCATGGCCCCGCATGGCATCTTATGCTGTGCCTCATTGACAGGTCTTCAGTAACCGGCGCGTTGCGCAGCGATTCCGGTGCACTCGATGACGAGCATGACCTGTCCTCTTGCGGGCCGGTATGCAAGGCAATCGGATTTCAGCGCTCCGCATAGGGCAAAGACGGCGCATACTCAGCAGGGTGACCCCATCTTGGCCGAATGGGGGTGGCATTTAAAGAAGTCTCCAGTCCGCATGACTGTCAGAGCACACTCGTGTTTGCAAAGACGCTGGGGAGGCCGTTACTGTGTCGGCATGGCATTGCTTGGCTTGGTTGATTCGATTCTGCAGTGGCATCAATTCTGGTAGCATCAATCAATTGTGGTAGTCAGCATGGCATTGCTTGGCTTGGTTGATTCGATGCTGCAGTGGCATCAATTCTGGTAGCATCAATCAATGTCAATGGTGGTAGTCAGCATGGCATTGCATGGCTTGATTGCTTCGATTGTTGCGGTGGCATCTGATTCGATTTTGCGGTGGCATCAATTCTGATACCATCAGTTCTGGTAGCAGCAACTGTGGTAGTCAGCATGGCATTGCTTGGCTTGGTTGATTCGATTTTGCAGTGGCATCAATTCTGGTAGCATCAGTTCTGGTAGCATCAACTTGTCAATTGTGGTAGTAACAATTGTGGTAGCGCTAATTGTGGTAGCATGATTTGCGGTAGTATAACTATTGTGGTAGCATCAATGGCAAGGTCTGCCTGGCATGTTTTGACAGAGCCGGGGGGGGGGCAGGGCTGGCATGAAATTTGCATTTTGCCAGGTGAAGTCGTTTCAGAAGGCATGTGAGTGATATTTGCGCGGAAGGCTCAGTGAGTGTGTGTGTGTGTGTGTGTGTGTCAGCTTGCTTGGTGATTGATTGTGAGCCCCTTGTAACCTAATGCTGCAGTTCTGGCTCAAGTGGTCTGCCTGGCATGTTTTGACAGAGCCGGGGGGGGGGCAGGGCTGGCATGAAATTTGCATTTTGCCAGGTGAAGTCGTTTCAGAAGGCATGTGAGTGATATTTGCGCGGAAGGCTCAGTGAGTGTGTGTGTGTGTGTGTGTGTGTCAGCTTGCTTGGTGATTGATTGTGAGCCCCTTGTAACCTAATGCTGCAGTTCTGGCTCAAGTTGTGCTATGTCGAGTGTGGCCCTCCAGCATCTCCCTGAGGAATTGTGTCTCGAGGAGCAGGGCCAGGATCTCCGGAAAGCACAGCAAGCAATCTACTTGCTCTATTTGCTCTGCCCGAGAAAGGCTGTTGATCTTGTGACACCTGCAGTACATTTCAGACAATTTCCAATTGAGAATAATTTGCTACCTGACATGTCATTGTTTCAATGCAACAACATTTGAGGAGAGCTTTCAAACGGGGAAGAGACGGCATCCAGAAACCAGAAGCCTGGATTCTGTCAGCCTGTAACAAGAACGTTAGAGAGCACTTTGGCAAAGATTGATGCAGCCCTTTTTTTTGGCGCTTAAACTTTCATCATTACAATTCCGTGTTCATTCGAGGCACAATCAAAGCTTGGGGATAGCATACAGCCAATTCGATGTCGGGAACTACGGCAGCAAGAAAGCCGCAGACGCCTCAACGAAAAGTTCCGGTGACTTGGGGCGGGGCAAAGGAAAAGAAGAAGACGACTCGGACGATTGGGGACGGTGGAGACCACGAACCGGCTATTGATGCTACTGATGACGATGTGAGGTCAGTTTTGGTGGGCGGCAAAACCTACGTTTGGCCGAAGAGAGTGGTGATCGTTGGTTATGGGGTTGCCGCCCATGGAAATCGTCCATCACCTCAGATGGCAGACTTGTTGGAGAAGTTGGACAGGGAAAGTAACTTTTCTAACAAATGGGAGGTTCGCTTGCAGGTGCAAATGCACGTGTCGAAGCTTCATGACATTTGTACATTTTTCATTCATTTCAGTTTCACTCAATTGACAATTGAGGGCAGTGACAGTGACAGTCATGGATGGAAGCCAAGGGAGGCCCAAGGAGGAAGGTTTGGCAGAGAATGTGGCCTATACGCGCATATCATGGAACAGGTGCCTGGTCGAACAGGTGTTGCTTCATGAATCGAGTTGTATAATAATTAATTTTAATTTTAACAAGAATTCACCCTAATGACCGAGGTGTATAGTCATCCCGCAGCGCTCAAGACGCTCCACTTCATCCTCAATTTTCCCGACAAGTTGCTCAGGCTTCTCGAGTCTTTGAATGCTGAAGGTCTTGGAGGTTTTTTTTAGGTTCAGGGACTAGGATAATTATAACCCTCCTATGTGGTCCTTCAATTGTCAGGATCTGCTGTTCGGCGGGATGGCACAGGACGTGTGCCATGATTGCGTTGGTCATGGCTCTCTTCCAAGTCGCTGTGCTGAACTGACTCATTGGTCCAGGTGACACTCAATTGTCTAGTTTTTGTAAGTATATCAGCTGTCAGTGCAGGTCTGTGGCATCGAATGCGTCGCATGGTTGGACACTTTAGTCCAGAGGCACAGAAAGGACGATTACAGAGCCATCGCTGCCGATCAACAGCACATTATCGACTTCGCCAATGGCCATGACGTGTCGCTGAGCAGCTTCAGATTTTCGAATGTTGTTTTGAGGTTGTAATATGTAAATATTTAAATGCAATCCATGGTTCTGCCAAAGTGTGCATCAGGAAGCAGAAGCATCTCCTGCCGTCCATTGGTTGGTCGTCGCATGAATGGGGGGCAGCATTGCAAAATGCTTGGACCACATGGACCGACCAATTTGCAAATCAGAATGATTGGGCTTCCATTCAGATGTGCCTGGACTCGAATTCCGCATTGATTTGATTTGCAGTCTGCCCTGTAGTGCCAACACGTACCACTTTGACTCAGGAACTTGAAAACAAGAATGGTCAAGGACAAGCAGGAACATCCCGTGGACCTACCTTCCAGGACATTTCAGAAGCTTCAGAAGCGAAATCAGAAGACGAAGTCAAGAGGAACTGCTGCAGCAGCAGCAGCTGGGAGCAACACTACATTTTCGCTTCAGCTTCAAGAATAAATAATAACATTTCAGTCACAATTGACATCCTCAATTGAGTGTGTGTGTGTGTGTCGTCTTCAATGCAAAGCATTTGAGGTGCTGCCAGATGCCAAAAGAGCACGAACTGCTCCGCTTGAGATCCCGGAGACAGATGTCGATGACGCCACAAGAGGGGGTGGTGATCCTGCATCCTCCAGTTCTGCTACTCCGGCTTTTGCCAGGCCACCAGTGCCCGCTCCAGAGTGGACCAATGATCCAAAAGCATCACCAGCAAAAAAAACAAAAGCCAGCGCAACAGCATCAACAGACAAGCCAGGGGCAGGACCAAAAGCAGGAGCACCACCAAAAGCAAGACCGCCAGCAAAAAAATTGGCATCAGCAGAAGTAGGGGCAACGGCAAAAACAAAGCCAGCACCTCTTACGAAAAGCATGCCTGCAAAGCCGAAAAAGCCGGCTGCAAAGCCGCCAAAGCCGCTAGTGGTTGAGGTTGATTCTCCAGAGGGTGTGCCGGAACCGAAAGATCCGCCCAAGTCTCGTCCGTTACATCCAAGGGATGCACGTCTGGCAGCAACACATCCAGTTCAACCTGCCTTTCCTCCGCCGGCGCCAGCAAACCCAACACTTCCGATGATGACGGCATGTGAGATGGCTGTTGGGGAATGCTTTCAGACATTCCTAGGTGGTGGTGCTGCACTGCCGAGCAACAGTTCAGCTCGATCTTCAATTGAGAACATGGTGTCGAGTTTGGCGAATGCTGTGTGGGAGAGGCTGCAGCCAAAACTTGTGGAACTTCAATTCATGTCAACACTTGAGCACAGTGTTCCACTGGCACCTGCCGGTGCGCTGGCGGACCTCACAGCGTGGAATCCGAGTCTTCCTGAGAAGTCGGAGCCCTACAAGGCTGAGCAGGAGCAAATCGACCAGGAGTCGGAAGAGGAGGAAGAAGAGGAGCCCGATGAAGAAGTAGCCCCTACCATCGACAGAGACCCTGTGATGCAGCCTGGCAGGGATTTGCATGCAGTTTACAGTGTTGTGTTGTTTATATGAAACAGTTGAGGCTGGAGATCTTGGAGGACTACTATATCCCTGAGGATCTCAAGGACAAGTTCTTCCACATGGCCACCCATCACGATTTCCCATTGCAGCGCCAGGTCAAGCTCATGCCGCTTGAACTGTTCATTGGTTCATTGTGCACCATTACATCCCTTTAAGACTCAGACTCACATGAATCAATCAATATCTGTAGTGCCAAGGATGAACATGCTGATGCGCCATGGTGAGAGACAACAGAGTACGAGCTGGCTGAGACAATGTGTGGGCAACTTGTCCTTGTTCGGGGACAGTGCAAGTCCTTAAACTCAAATGTGGTGAAGTAGTGAGCTTGTGCTGGCTACAGGAAACGAAATGTCCCAGCCACACCCGCCATCCGCTTCGACAGAGCGGCCGCCACTGGAACTGTTCGACCCGACTTGAAGTGAGCTGACTGCCCGGCTGACTGAGCTGAAAGCTCCAATGAGATGTTGAGCTTTCATCCATGGCACTTTCTGGTGCTCGTACACTAAGTACCATACTCAGCTGGTGATTTGGTTGAGTGAATCTACTCAGCTGATTCCAGCTCTTCTGATTGGTTCATTCTCCTCGACTCACACAGACTCTGACAATTCCGTGTCAGTCAGTTTGAAGTTAATTCATGCTATCACCCAAGCACACACACACACACAGAAACACATAATATAATATCATATCATACAGCTTCCAATGTGCTCAGGTGCTGGAGTTCCTCGAGTTGCAGGAGGCAGTGACATCGATCTCACTGGTGAGTTGTCGATGAAAATGTTGTGTTAGTCAGTCGTCTGGTCATAGATTCATGTTTTTGCAGCTGTTGGTGTCAAAGTTCAGAACTGCTCCGAACAGTAGTTACACTTTGGATTCCCATGCTACTGGATGAACACTTTCACAATTGAGTCTCAATTGTCACAATTGCAGCATTTTAGAATTGAGAGGTGGCTGCTGAGGCCAAACGCAAATAGCATTTTTTCGCATGTGACTTTTCCTGGTGGCGATGGAGTGTCCTTTTTGCAAGCGTTGCCTGCCTCATTCATACTGGAGGAAATCCCAGTGGTACCAGAAATCAGCTGAAACGCCAATTCGGCACTACTTCAATTGTTGCCGTGACTGTAGCAATGTCCTGGAGAACCTGTATGTGGATCCACGTGAAGTGCGGTCGGCAACAATATTTGTGGCCCAGATGATTGATCTTTTGAGAGCAGATTCAGGCCAACTTCAGCGCAGGTTTCGGAGTGTGTTCCAGGGCTTGGCTGACTACCCATCACAATTTCGAAAACACATATCTCACGGAGGCTGCCTGTACTACAATGGGCAACCGCATGATCCTGGGAATGCGTTATACACAATGGCGTTGGAGTTGCTTCTGCCTGGATTTCGCAGAGCCTATCCTTGGGGCGAAGAGAAACTTGGAGACCTGGTTGAGGGGCTTCTTTGGGTATGGTCTCCGGAATTTATAGCCTCGAAGAAGTTGCAGAAGGAGGCGGATCAGATCTGCAGGAAGCATTACAGGAAGATCCAGTGGCTTCTACAATGTGCCGAGCCACCAGTTTCACAAGATTTGACGATGATCGGATTCTTGCATGGGTGGTTTTCCTCTGTTTTCATGCTTTCGAGAGCCACTGGCTACACACAACCGTTCTCAAACGTGGAGGAGCTCCTTACTTTTCGGGATTGGACCCCTGAGAACTCTTGCCCAAACAAAAAAATGCGGGCAGAATTGGAAGCAATGGCTCTGAAGTTGGACGAGGTTCTGATGCTGTCGTCAGAGTCTGAGGAGTCACTGGACCCTTATCATTGTAAAGCAGATGAGGATCTAGAGGATGAAGACCCAGAGGAAGACAAAGTTCCCGAAAATGAGGATATAGAGGATGAGGACGAAGACGAAGCCCATGCAATGAGTGATGATGAGCCAATGTACAGACATGAAGTGTGTGACGAAACATCAGACTCAGAGAACGAATACTTACACATGCTGTTGGAACAGTCCTCTGAATCCGAGGACGAGCACGATCCGGCCTGAAACTCTGACTCCTCGAATCGGTGTCGAGTCCTTTTGCCAATTAGGTCACTGACACTGACAATGCGCCTACCTCTGCCTCTGTGACTCAAAACACACAATTGATTTATTGTGATGACAGTTTCGTGCACAATGAAGTGACAGTGTTGTACACAATTAATTGAGAGTTTGCTTGACTTGCAGATTCCTTATAAAAACCTGATGGTGCTGTACAACTCTATGAACCATCAGAGTGCAAAAGGAAACAGTGTCATGGGCACAGCAAAGTCATCCAGTGAAACTTTGCCTGACAAATCTGTGTCAGTGCATGAGTGGGCAACTGGCATGGCACATGTTGCGGTTGAAAGCCAAGCCAAGAAATGAACAATTCTTCAATTCTGTCAGGTTGTTTGCGACAAAGAGAACCATCACCATGCAGCCGCCTCAGTCTTCAGTGAAAGCCTCTTACATCCAGTCTTGGAATGGTTTGCCTGCTGTTAGAATTGTCTTGCTTCAGCTGCAGCCATTGTCCCCCAAGATCAATTTGGTTTGAAATTTTGATTGACGATCATGTCGAATCCCAAGAAGGAGGGCTATGTGGAATCCCTTCAGTGCTATGTGGACGAAAAAAGGTGCCTCAGCTGCATGCTGTTCCACTTTGAAAGCTACCTGCCGGCATGGGACTACAAGCGCTTGGAGATGATCTCGCACGACTGCAAATGTGATGATGTGGTTTTGGCGGAGTCCAAAGGCAGTGTGTCAGAGGAATCTGCAACCTGCAAAAGCCAGTTGCCGGTCAAGCACTGATGTTTCACCGATGTGATTCGCACAGGACAAATTTGAATTAGTAATTATTCTGCCATTTGCAGATCACTAGCTGCAATTGCAGGTTCCAGAAGATTCCAGCAAGTTTCGATTGGGGGAAAAAGCTGTGGGAAACCTGAGCTATTGCCGAAATTGTCCTTTGTCCAGTGATGCTTGTGGAAATGAATTGCATGTCCATGAATTGTGTCACAATTGTCGTGTCTCAGATCAATTGTGAAGCGCTGAGAACTGGACGGTTCTACATCTGGAGCAAGGAAGGATCTTGAACAGTAGCAACTCAATCGTTGATTGAGTCAGCGGATAGCTCCAGTGACAATGGGCTGGACAGTTTCAAGGAAACAGCAGAATCATGCAAAGGGGCCGTAGCCGGAGCAATTCGCCCTTGCAGCCGCCGTTGCCGCCGCCGTTTAATTATGATAATTTCAATTGGCGTCGCTTTTCCAGGAGCAGATCCAGCAGCCCTCGAAGCCCACTCCCCCCGTGGTCCGAGTCCAACCGATCCGACACGCCGGAGAGACTGCAAGTGAACAGAAGAAACAGGCATTTTTACAGGACGAATCTCAATGGTTACGTTTTGTCCGGCTGGGAGGAGGAGCGCATGAGACGACTCAGGGCAAACAATCCGCCAATTTTGCCACAGGAACGCCCCATATTGATCGATCATGTTTTGCATTATGATGTCAATCGTCCTCTTTGGAGGCACGAGTATCCGTGGCAACCAGTGCGATGGCGAATCAACCGCCTTGACCGCCATGACGATATGAACAAACAAGAGGGTGCAATGTCGGTACACCATCTAGTGAATTTGCAAGATGGTTACTATTGGCTTCATGTGACTCACGAGTTGCTCACTGTGGACTGCCTTTGCAATTTTCGGACAACTTGCCGTCGTGCTCGCAGATGCTGGGTCATGAA